GGCGCATCCCCGTTGTCTCCCTCCTCCTCCTCCTCGTCGTCTTCCTACTCAGTCCTGTTCCTGGGCACTGGCGAGGAGGCGGCTGATTCTGGGACACCCAGTCCCACGCAGAGCCCTCAGGGTGTCTGCCCCTCCCCCACAGCCGTGGCAGCCCCTCCATGGAGCCAGTCGGAAGACAATGGCCTCAGAAGCCAAGGTGAGGAGGGGCCCAGCTCCGGGCAGGACCCGGCAGATGCCGAGTCCCGGCTCCAAGATGCATTACATTTAATGATGGCTGAACTGATGGGCTTCCTGCTCCACAAGTACCGCACAAAGCAGCCGACCTCAAAAGAGGAAATGCTGAATGCGGTCCTCAGAGATGACCAGGACCACTTCCCTGTGGTCTTGAGCCAAGCCTCTGAGTGTCTGCAGCTGGTCTTTGGGGTGGATGTGAAGGAGGTGGACCCCAGGGAGCACTTGTATGTCCTGGTCCCCACCCTGGGCCTCACCTACGATGGCATGCAGGACGACGGGCAGAGCATGCCCAACACTGGCCTCCTGGTGATACTTCTGGGTGTGATTGTCCTGGAGGGCGACTTTGCTCCTGAGGAGGCAGTCTGGCGAGCACTTAGCAAGATGGGGCTGTGTGCTGGGAGGGAGCACTTCATCTACGGGGAGCCCAGGGAACTCATCACCAACGTGTGGGTGCAGGAGGGGTACGTGGAGTACCGGCAGGTGGCCAACAGCGATCCCGCTCGCTACGAGTTCCTGTGGGGTCCCCGGGCCTACACGGAGACCAGCAAGCTGCAAGTCCTGGAACATTTCCTCAGGGTCAATAGAAGGGGTCCCAGTTCTTTCCCATCCCTGTCTGAAGAGCGAGTGAGTGATGAGGAAGAGGGGGCCTGAGGCAGACTTGCAGCTGGGCTCCTTCTAGGCCCCTGTCCGGCAGCTTCTCCCGCCGGGCAGGAAGTGAGGCTGACTCTTCACTGTGTGTCTGAAGAGCAAGCAGTCAGCCTTTTAGGTAGTGAGGGCCAGGGCCGGTGGGGGGGAACACGGTGTACAGCATCTCTGGGCTCCTGTTCTCTACAATGATATGGAAATTCATCTTCATTTCCCTTAGTGATGCTTCAGATGTTATTCCTTTTAATAAATATCAATATACTTTATTTTATTATACAGTTTTTTTAAAGA